TGTCAAACAGTCCAGTCAAGCATAACCATGACAACACATTGTCAAACAAGTCTGGTCAGATATGACCATAACAACACAATGTCAAACAGTCTGGTCAAGCATAACCATGACAACACATTGTCAAACAGTCTGGTCAGATATGACCATAACAACACATTGTCAAACAGTCCAATCTAGCATAACCATGACAACACATTGTCAAACAAGTCTGGTCAGATATGACCATAACAACACAATGTCAAACAGTCTGGTCAAGCATAACCATGACAACACATTGTCAAACAAGTCTGGTCAGATGTGACAATAACAACACATTGTCAAACAGTCTGGTCAGATATGACCATAACAACACAATGTCAAACAGTCCAGTCAAGCATAACCATGACAACATATTGTCACACAGTCTGGTCAGATATGACCATAACAATGCAATGTCAAAAGTCCAGTCAAACATAACCATGACAACACATTGTCAAACAGTCTGGTCAGACATGACCATAACAACACAATGACAAACAGCCCGGTCAAATATAACCATGACAACATATTGAATAGATGATATCAAAGAGTACAAAAATTGAGTTTAATCATAACAGACACATTTTCATATAATACAAACTACAAAAAAAAATTGTTATGGCTACATAATGCCTAAAAATCAAACAGTCAAACATCCATAACAATACAATATTTTACTCAGACATGTATGATACAATTGCATATAGGTATACAGTTCTTGATAACATATTTTGTGCTAAACACTTACATTTTCAAGGAAAATTTTCTAATGATTTTTTTTTTATCAAATATCAGACATTTCCTTACATGTTACCAATTCTTTTTGTCATTTTGTTCCAAATAATTAACAAGAACTTGCTACTGTATCAATATATATATATATATGACATCAAGACACTAGTGATGATACCTTTGGGGATGTCTTCTTCCAAGTTGTCCATGAAGTCAATTGACTTGTCCATGTTGGCTTTTTGAAGGAGAGACTTCTCTGGCAGGAGTTTAGGTTCCCTGAAGTGCATGTATGAACAAAGCTTGGCAGCTTCAGACACAATCAAACCTGTGTAGAAAAAAAAGTAATCAAGTCAGCCAACACATTAACTCAGATTGAAACCATGCTATGGTCAACTACAGTGAGTGATCTTTTAATTCTTATTACAGAAGCTAGATAAAAAAAATGCATTTAACGTAATCTCAGCTTAAGCAGCAAGACTTTAACCAGCACAAGACCATTCCATGTAAATCAATACCTTCAAAACTACGATTTGCTATCACTTCGCCTGTTGGTGTCTGTACAAAAGCTCCTCTGGGGACAATTTTAACATCATCATCAATATCTGCAATGACAGATGACAGCCTGTCTTCTTCCTTGATGGAGATCTGTAAAATATTAATCAGGTGAATATTAAGTAAATTCTTTTCTCCCCTACATGTAAACCTACTGATAAAGCCTGAAGAAAAATTTAAACACTACCATTACATTTGATACTTAAAATGTAAAAAATATATAAGAAAGAATGCTAAATGAATTCTTTTAGAGATGTTGTCAAGCTTTAAGCCTCAACACAAATAGATTTATCCACTCACAGTTTCTTCTTCCTCCTGAGCATCTTCACCCTCACCAACTTTCTTTGTTTCTGTGTGTTCAAACTCGTATGATGGGTCTCCAGTGAAGCGTCCCTTTGCCAGCTTGCTTTGGTCACGCATAGCTTTTGTGGCAGGTGGCAATAAACCCCAGTTGACACAGTCTTTGCTAAAATGATCAAAAAGTGTGAGAAATATGTTAATAGTTTAAAGAAAACATATAAAACTTATTTCTAAGAAGGCTGAGATGTCAATTCTCCTTTTGTTTGACAATCGAAGATACTTTATATTTACAATCCTATTCTAAGCAATCTGCTTTTATCAAGCTAACACTTCACATAGCTAAATTATCTAAAAAGAAAAAAAAACATTTTACTTGTCTTCTCTGTCAGTAACTTGACCAGGTATTACAAATGTACATCAAAGTTGTCCCTTGATTATTCTTTAATTTACTCCAATAATGCTTTATTGTATGGCACAAATACAGTCACAATGTTACCAAGTTATAAAATAATATAACACTCAGCATGGCACAGTATATGTGTAACAATCATAAGACAACCAAATGTCTTGAGTACTGACAGTACAGCTGTGCTTCGTAACGTCTTAATAAGCTAACTCTAAAATCAACTGAAAATTAACATTGTAATACAACTTTGGCAACACCTAAATCAAAACCCAACCATAAACCAGTTAATTATTAAGAGAAATAGTTACCTATAAAATGTTTTCTTCTCAATCATTTCATCCCTGGATACACCTTGTGCGATGAAATAATCATCTTTCACACCCAAAATTTTACCCCACAGATAAACTTTGTGGAATTTGTTATGACTTTGTAGAATGACTAAAGATGTTTGCAAGGCTGCTTTCTGTTCCGGACTGAGGATAACCCCACTGCTTCCAACATAATCGATGTCAAGATGAAGCCCTGATGATTCCATTTTGCCGAAATAAGTGTAAACAGATGTACACTCTTCTCGAATCAACTTAACAGCAACAGTAGTTTGTATGTTGCTATGCACTACGCGCATGTCGTAGCGCGTTTCCGGTACACATTGGAATGTCTTAATCAAACAAACGCTTTATTGGAAATGATTTTTAACACTGATTGTGGAAGCGTAACATTAACACTGAGATGTTTACTTCCGTGTTGGCTGCAGCATGGATCCAGACGTTTCTGTTATGTTTACAGTTTCTGGCCCGTTCCTAATACGACATTCCGACACAATCGCACATTTGTCTCCAGAATTCAACAAGAAAAACCATGACGAATTTGATGTTCACATAGAATCTATTTGGGAGAAAAGAAGACTAGAAAATCCAAAATTATTCAATGGAACAAAATTCCGTTTACACTCGGTTTCACACGAGTCTAATGGCCCAGGTTGTAAAACCACATTTAACTTAGGCATTACATGTTATAGAGATTTTATAAGTACTAACTGGGCACCAAACGCAGAGGATATATTAAGAAAAGGTGAACAAGATTATAACAACACTCAGGCATTTATGTCTGATGCTATGGGAGTTGGGGCCTTGGTACAAACCACAGACAATCATGTGATATTCCTAAAGAGAAGTATCCATTGTGGGGAAGCTAAAGGACTTTGGGACATCCCAGGAGGGCATGCAGAACCACAGGTACAAATGTCAATATTCTATCCTACATAGAATTTAATGTTGATTAGCATCAGCATTGTGAAGAATAGAGAGCACCATCAAGCAAACTGATGGCACTTCTATGAAATGTTTGTCGAAGTAAAGTTATGAATATTGGGAAAGGGATTTTAACCTATATTGGTCTAGAGCATTCAGGGCCAATACTTATTGAGTAAATGGAGGGTGTGGCTACCCTAGGACAGAGGGATATGGGCCCAGTAGGGGGAATATTTGAGCATTGTAACAGAGTATTAAAGACATTTAATATATATACAACATTTTGATATAGCGCCCTATCTAGCTAACATAAGTCACTCTAAAGCGCTTTACAGTACATAGATATACAATTAATACAATTAGGATATACAATTTTTGAGGAAATCCCAGGAGCTGCCTTATCAGGCGCTAACTGCTAGTCCTATGCCACCTGGCTAATATCTCCCTATGTGTGTATGCCTGCGTGTGTGCTGGAGATGTATTTTGTTCTGTTTGTAGTGGGACTGTGCTTCCAACGGCATCTTTTCTAGTGCCACCTCACTTGAATGCTACATCACAGATACCGCAACATCCACCCCAGACCATTTTATACTCCACCTGGGTTGTTGGAGTTGTGTGGGCAGGAGAAAAACACCTTCTCTGATATTCCATGCATGCGACGACTTCGGGGATCGAACCCCGGCCGCCTGCGTGGAAGGCCGAAGTGTTAACCACTCGATCAATCCACCCATTAATTAATTGGTTGATGCCTCCTTTAGCAATGAAAATTCCATTAACATTGTATTCAAGGTCACTGGGGTTAAAGGGGCTATATTTAGTCAAACAAGTGAACACCATTAAGTTTGATTAGATACTGAAAATATAGATCTCCTAACGAAAGTCTACGTAGTTGATAATGACATGACTTGAAACCAACATCCAGTGTGGTCAGTTTTATCTTTTGGGAAAACTTGTGATAACAATGGCTACGACGGAAATAGCGCAATATCCAGGCCTTTCAGCGAGTAGTAAACATTGTACAGTACCACACTGTCGACCAACAGTGAATCTGATTTCTCACATAACACATGCTTTATTGCTTTGAATTTACACAAAATGTCGCAAGGAAGAATTATAAATATCATTATATATAAATCTTATGAAACATTTCTTTTCACAATTGTATTTTAATTTAAATACAGTATGCATGCAAGAGTGTACCACAGGGATAATTTCAAACTGTATAAAGTACGATATCATATCAGTGGGTTAAAATTAAAATAAATTGCTCTTTTATAACGATGATTGAGATATTGTTTGGATGATGATATTGATTCAGAATAAATGCCGGTACTTGTATTCTGAAAAAGCTAGGTGAAAGCGAGAATTTACCTTCTTTCCACGGCTGGAAAGACACATTTCACTGACAGTATGAGTTACCACTAAAAGGTATGGTTGTAGAGTTTAGGATTTCTTCATTACTGAACAGGAACACCAAGAAAGATTGTCTCTTGTCAGTTTCTCGACATGTTTTGTTCATAAGGAGTATCAAACTATATTTTCATGAAGAATGTTTTAACTTATGTTTAAAAAAAAAACTTTACTAAATTGTCCCTTTAAATGTTTAAAAAATATTTTTTAAAAATTACGCGTTACCCGAAAGGTTCAGGTCAATGATATCTAGTCATTAGTTTGCTGGGATTAAAGATTTTATTCAAATGAATGACCTTGGCCAACTTCCAATGTCACAGGGGTCAAATGTGTTAAAATCATTAAACAACTTCTCAATAACCCGAAAATCCCAGTGTGATGCTATTTGGCCAATAGCATGCTGGTGAGAAGCGCTACAAAGTTTATTAGTCCCCTATCGATGAAACCTTGAAGGATTTTGATCAAACTTCACAAAAATACAAAGGACCATAATATCTCAGACAAGGTTGAGTTTCAGGGTTGTCGGATCAAGGTCAAGGTCACTGTTACTATTTTTAGAAAATCCTTGTCAGAGCTCTAGCGGCTTCATTCCTTGGGGGATTTTTATCAAACTTCACACAATAACAAAGGGCCATAATTTCTCGAACATGCTTGAGTTTCAGGGTTTTCAATCATTTTATTTTACATAATTCCTCTATTATAATACTAACATTACAATTTCTTGTATTATTATTACATTAAAATCAGTTACAAGCTAATTGTATACTTTTCATTTTCCCAAATTAACCCCAAAGGGCACCATTTATATAAATCATTACAGTGTAAAAGCTAGCGGGGGCCGGTAGGGGACATGTATTATCAGTATGCTTGTTCAAGTTAATAATTTAAAAAAATTACTGGAGTGTCAAATATTAAACATAAAAACAAACAACTTCTCATTATCCCAAGTCAATGATATTTGGCCAGTAGAATGTTAGGATGAAGGGCTGAAAGTTTGTTCAAATGATTCACCTTGACCCACATTCAAGGTCACACGGGTGAAATCTATTCTTTATATCCAATATGCCCACAGTGGTGATATTTCTAATATATATCTGACCTTTAAAGTTACTGCTGTGAGATCAATACATGGTGTCATTGATTTAAATAGTGTGTTACACAGGGATATATTCTGGGGATAATGTTAATGCAGTGAAGCAAATATGGAAAATGTCTTTATGTTTATTTTTTATTTTTTTAAAGTTTTCACTGCTTTTGACTAGGGTTAGGAAGAATAAGCAGACAATTACTGGGGGGGCACCATATCTTGTTACATCAAGTTTACAAAAAGTACTCTTTGATTGTGGTTCATAATCTCCTGTGCATGTTCAGAAAAAAAGTTTTATAGACCGGAAAAAGCGAGGAACAAGAGTATTTAGTAGACTGTTTTTAACTCAGTCACCCCTGAAATTTTATAATGAACTATTACAGCCTTTGAATTGGAAGAGTTCAAATGTGTCTTCAAGGGTGAATGAGTTAACCCTGAGCTGGCTTAATACGAAGTTAAAGTTGTTTCTTGGGTTGATCCCAAATTTGTTCGTGTTAAAATTATGATACAAAACAAAAGTGTAAAAGTTTGACTTGGCAAATCGAAGTGCTACATTTATAGAGTATACATGTTTATAAATGTTTGCAGGAATTGGTTGGTGACCTTCCAGTTGAAAACATTGATGTGACAAAAATGGACCCTGTCAAGGTGATAGAAGAAATGTTTGATTCTATAAAAAGAGAGGTGATAGATGAAGTCAACATTCCCAGTTCATGTTTGTCTGAACCAGAACTATGTGGCATTGCGAGAAATACAACAGCAGCTGGTAGACCTAGTGTGGAATTTGTGATCAGGTGATTTTATCTTACCTTCATTTACATAAAATGGAACTAAATGCTTTTACCAAAAATGAGTTTTTAAAAAGATCAATGACTATATCAGGCATATGAATAATAAATTTGGAACTGTATATAAAAAAAAAACGGTGAGAAGATTTAGGCAATGTCAATAATATTTTTGTACACGACAGCCTTCATGTGTTTCGGTAGCAATCTTGAAAATACAGATCTAATAAAACGATAAGCTGAATGATGATTACCTGTATATCACAGATGCTCTCTGAACTCGGAAGAGGTCAAGGCCAAATACCACCAAGGTAACCAATCAGAAGCTGATGAATCCACCAGTATATGTCTACTGCCATTGGAAACAGTGATAAAGATGAAGTCAGAGGATGAGTTTTGGCAAAATATGGCTCCATCTGCCAAGGGTTGTATTATACTTTACCGTCTATACGACACAAAAGTCACTGACTTGGGACAGACTGATCTGGACAATGATGTTTGACCGCTACATGTCTGATGTTACTGTATGTTATGTTTGATTCCTTGAGGTGTAGGAATGCATTAGATTTTGTTTATTTTGCTTTCAAATATAATTTATTTTAAAGAATTGAAATGCGGAAATATTTGGACTAAATGTATCTGTCAAAAGTATGCCAGTATGGCTAAATCTGTTATAATAAAGGAAGTACTTATCAAATTCTTGTTTTAACTTTTTTTGCATATTGAGAAATGGTAAATGTTTACCAACATTACACCAATAGTTAATATGGCCGAACGATCAGTTTATTTTTTTCTTAACAAATTGGACTTTTCTTTCAAGTGTCTGACTTCAAGTTCTCAGAGTCATTCAGATTTCATACACACCTTCCTTCCTCAGGTCAAATAGCCGAAGGTTAAAGTGACTATACCCGGTAATAAGAAAATCATTCCCTTCCCTTTAGCATTGTCATCACTCTGAATGAGCCCTCAAAGAGCCTTGTTTCTGTGTCTTCATTAGCAAGCTCAGAGCATTTATCCTCCGAGTATCTTGGGATGCTCTACTGAATGCATATTGCAGATGCTGATTTTGACCTATATTTTACGCTTCATGTTTTTAATGACTCGTTGCACTGTGAGCAGGGGATATTGATGACAGTGTCTTCTTGTTGAATGCTGTAGTTCCGGTGAGATTCGTAACAGTCCCTGTTGTATCTGGATAACTGCCAATAAATATTCAAATCGACTTTTAACAAGAAAATGCTGCAAAGCTGCTGTACACCAGATCTGTTGATGAAAATCATCACTAAGTGACAGTCCAACTAGCATGAGGGACAGATCATGCACACTTGAATTTGTTCTTTGGATATAAATGGCATTAATTTTACTGTTAAGAATATTCTGTTCACTCTTAATAACCTCACATGTTGCACTATTGTTACTTAGTCATTGTCACAGGGCAAGAAACTGTACATGTTAAACTGCATGCTTAAATGATAATACACTTTTGAATAAAACATTAATTGTCATTTGGGTTAAATTGTCAATCGTCGTCCCTCTTTTATTAGATAATATATAAAATGTTAATTTCTGGTAGAGGATACTTGTCAAAGAAGTTATAGTCTTTCAAGTCTGCTACGAAGAAACATTTTGCCACAACGCTGGCTTTTTTGGTTGTTATCACATATTCATTTTATACGAGGGAAATATATTTATCGCCATTACGATTCTAGCCACGCTTTCACAACCCTGACACTCTGATTTCCTGACTGAATTTCGTAACAAGGTCAAGGCTATGAACTATAAAAAGTATCTAATTGTTTTGACCAATCACAGAGCTCCACGCTGGTATACATCACCGACCCCATTCAAGTACAGTGACCGAGATACAAGGTCTAAAAATAGGCATGTGTTTATACACGCTTGCGAGGAAAACATGGCTGTGCGCTCCCGGTCGCTTATGAGTAAATACAATGTATGTGTCCAACCACGGTTTTGAGGAAATCAACCTCAAAAGTAAACATGCACAACTCAGGACCAAGGGGGAACCTACATATCAAATTTGAGAATAACTCCTCCAGTAAATTCTGAGATATAGCAATAACAACCTTAACTTTAACACGATGGGTAGCTGATATGATTTGATATGCATAACTAAGAACAAGATGAACCCTTATGTGAAATTTGCTGAAGATCCCTCTTTTTGAGCAATCGGGCTAAAAAAAACTTTTTCTCCCAAATCTTACACGACCACATGGTGGCCATCTTAGTTTTCCAATCATCCCCAAAATTCGTAATGCAGAACTAAGAACCATTGGGAACCTTCATGCGAAATTTGAGAAGACCCCTCCTAAACATCCGAGAAATAATGCTAACAAAGTTTCATACTCAAATTCAAGATAGCAGTCCGTCTGCCATCTTGGTTTTCCCTTCTGTCCCAAAATTTAATATGCGTAACTAAGGACCATGGGGAACTTTCATGCAAAATTTGAGATAAAGATCCCTCTAGTGCTTTCTGAGGAACAGCACTAACAAACTTTAACTCTAAAATTCAAGATGGCTGGCTGTCGGCATGCATAACTAGGGATCATGGGGAACCATCATGTGAAATTTGAGAAAGATCCCTTCTGTGCTTTCTGAAAAAAAGCGCTAACAAGCATTGTTTCAGGATGGACGGAATGACGGATGGACGAACCACGGTTGCAAGGTGATTTGAATAGCCCAATATCTGATGATAGTGGGCTGAAAATGGACATGGTCAGATATGATTATTATACCTTACTTGGTCAGATATTGTTGTATGATTGTTACCAAAACTGTCATTGGGGAGAGAGTAAAATTTACTATAGTTTGTATAGGGAAAGGAACATTTTGTGTATATTTTATTTATTATTGAACTTTTTTCCAGACAATTTACATTAACAAATATAAATTGAATTGGTTTGAGTCAGTTGTCGGTATTTTAAGAGTGACCAAGACCGTCATATAGTATCAAAGTGTAGCAAAATGATTTAGGTGAAAAGTGTCTACCATAGAACAAGATCATTTTGACAAACTGTTTGCTACAAAATGTTAGTGAACTATCAGTAAATCAAAAACAAATCTTTTCATTCATTAACAGGTGGCAATGCTAAGAGCCAAACCAGGTCCTCACCTTATTCAATGCAATAGTGGTATAATGGCACTACCGCCTGCTTACCAATACAATAGTGGTATAATGGCACTACAGCCTGTTTACCAATGCAATAGCGGTATATAGGTACTACCGCCTGCTTACTAATGCAATAGTGGTATAAAGGCACTACTGCCTGCTTACCAATACAATAGTGGTATAATGGCACTACCGCCTTCTTACCAATGCAATAGTGGTATATAGGTACTACCGCCTGCTTACTAATGCAATAGTGGTATAAAGGCACTACTGCCTGCTTACCAATACAATAGTGGTATAATGGCACTACCGCCTGTTTACCAATGCAATAGTGGTATATAGGTACTACCGCCTGCTTACTAATGCAATAGTGGTATAATGGCACTACGTGGTATAATGGCACCACCGCCTTCTTACTAATGCAAGTGGTATATTGGCACTACTGCCTGCTTTCCAATGCAATAGTGGTATAGAGGCACTACTGCCTGCTTACCAATACAAAAGTGGTATAATGGCACCACCGCCTTCTTACTAATGCAAGTGGTATAATGATGGCACTTCTGCCTGCTTTCCAATGCAATAGTGGTATATAATGGCACTTCCACCTGCTTACCATTGCAATAGTGGTATAGTGGCACTACTGCCTGCTTACAAATGCAAAAGTGGTATAATAGTACTACTGCCTGCTTACCAATGCAATAGTGGTATAATGGCACTACTGCCTGCTTACCAATGCAATAGTTGTATAAAGGCACTACCGCCTGCTTACCAATGCAATAGTGGTATAAAGACACTACTGCCTGCTTACCAATGCAATAGTTGTATAAAGGCACTACCGCCTGCTTACCAATGCAATAGTGGAATATTGGCACTACTGCCTGCTTACAAATGCAGGGGGTATAAAGGCACTACCATGTGCTTACCAATGCAATAGTGGTATAATGGCTATACTGCCTGCTTACAAATGCAGGTGGTATAAAGGCACTACCACCTGCTTACCAATGCAATAGTGGTATAATGGCATTAACGCCTGCTTACTAATGCAAAAGTGGTATATTGGCACTACTGCCGGCTTACCAATGCAATAGTGGTATAAAGGCACTACTGCCTGCTTACCAATGCAATAGTATAATGGCACTACTGCCTGCTTACCAATGCAATAGTGGTATAACGACACTACTGCCTGCTTACCAATGCAATAGTGGTATAATGGCAGTACTGCCTGCTTACAAATGCAGGTGGTATAAAGGCACTACCACCTGCTTACCAATGCAATAGTGGAATAATGGCATTAACGCCTGCTTACTAATGCAAACGTGGTATATTGGCACTACTGCCGGCTTACCAATGTAATAGTGGTATAAAGGCACTACTGCCTGCTTACTAATGCAATAGTGGTATAATGTCACTACTGCCTGCTTACCAACGCAATAGTGGTATAATGGCACTGCCGCCTCTACTGCCTGCTTACTAATGCAATAGTGGTATAATGGCACTCCTGCCTGCTTTCCAATGCAAGTGATATAAAGGCACTTCCGCCTGCTTACAAATGCAATAGTGGTATAATGGCACTACTGCCGGCTAACTAATGCAATAACGGTATAATGGCACTACTGCCTGCTTACTAATGCAATAGTGGTATAATGGCACTCCTGCCTGCTTTCCAATGCAAGTGATATAAAGGCACTTCCGCCTGCTTACAAATGCAATAGTGGTATAAAGGCACTACCGCCTGTTTACTAATGCAATAGTGGTATAATGGCACTATTGCCTGCTTACCAATGCAATAGTGGTATGAAGACACTACTGCCTGCTTACTAATGCAATAATGGTATAATGGCACTACTGCCTGCTTACCAATGCAATAGTGGTATAATGGCACTACTGCCTGCTTACCAACGCAATAGTGGTATAATGGCACTCCCGCCTGCTTACCAATGCAAGTGGTATAATGATGGCACTACCGCCTACTTACCAATGAAATAGTGGTATAAAGGCACTACCGCCTGCCTTCCAATGCAATAGTGGTATATAATGGCACTACCACCTGCTTACCATTGCAATAGTGGTATAGTGGCACTACCGCTGCCTTACCAATGCAACAGTGGTATAATGGCACTACTGCCTGCTTACCAATGCAATAGTGGTATAAAGGCACTACTGCCTGCTTACCAATGCAATAGTGGTATATAGGCACTACTGCCTGCTGACCAATGCAATAGTTGTATAATGGCACTACTGCCTGCTTACCAATGCAATAGTGGTATAAAGGCACTACTGCCTGCTTACCAATGCAATAGTGGTATAAAGGCAGTAGTCACAGTATAATAATAATAGCTACCTCAGGTGATGCACTTACATCTTCGATGCATGTTAATCTGTTTAGCAGAAGTGTCAACATCCATAACCAGGTTTGGCCAATGGGAACTTTTAGCTTTTACCAAGCTCTGACATTAGGTACATTCCAAAAGGAAGACCATGATAACTAATGCTTGCCATAAGGAAAAGGGTCATGTCTATAATTTACATGTGACTGTTCCTAACTCTTTATTGTTTGTATTTGTAGCAATATATACACTTGAACAATAAAAAGCTTCCCACAACCAATGACCTTGACACCTGTTAGTAAACACCATAAATAACCTTGGCACCTATTAGTAAAAACCATCAATGACCTTGACCATTGCAAATGACTTGTATTTCCCAATAAATTATGTTTTGCATAAAATTGCAAGGTTGTAGGGTTCATATTATGAAACACAATTTAACAATTATCATATCATTACATGCAACAATCGCAAAAATGGAGATACACAAAACTTTAGTGATAAATAATATCACTAACTACAACAAAAGACTTTGACAACTATAATAACCACAAATGACCCTTACAACCTAACCTTGACACCTATAACAAGCTACCACAAATGACCCTTACAACCTAACCTTGACACCTATAACAAGCTACCACAAATGACCCTTACAACCTAACCTTGACACCTATAACAAGCTACCACAAATGACCCTTACAACCTAACCTTGACACCTATAACAAGCTACCACAAATGACCCTTACAACCTAACCTTGACACCTATAACAAGCTACCACAAATGACCCTTACAACCTAACCTTGACACCTATAACAAGCTACCACAAATGACCCTTACAACCTAACCTTGACACCTATAACAAGCTACCACAAATGACCCTTACAACCTAACCTTGACACCTATAACAAGCTACCACAAATGACCCTTACAACCTAACCTTGACACCTATAACAAGCTACCACAAATGACCCTTACAACCTAACCTTGACACCTATAACAAGCTACCACAAATGACCCTTACAACCTAACCTTGACACCTATAACAAGCTACCACAAATGACCCTTACAACCTAACCTTGACACCTATAACAAGCTACCACAAATGACCCTTACAACCTAACCTTGACACCTATAACAAGCTACCACAAATGACCCTTACAACCTAACCTTGACACCTATAACAAGCTACCACAAATGACCCTTACAACCTAACCTTGACACCTATAACAAGCTACCACAAATGACCCTTACAACCTAACCTTGACACCTATAACAAGCTACCACAAATGACCCTTACAACCTAACCTTGACACCTATAACAAGCTACCACAAATGACCCTTACAACCTAACCTTGACACCTTTAACAAGCTACCACAAATGACCCTTACAACGTAACCTTGACACCTATAACAAGTCACTATCATCTTTTGACACTTATCATGTGTTAGGACTTCAACACCTGACAGAAACCACAAGGAAATAACCTTGACAATTATAACAAGCAATCACAAATGACCATGACATCAATTACTAGTCTTCACAAAAGACCTTGACATTAAACACAAGCCACCTCAAATGACCTTGACATCAATAATTGCTTTCCACAGAAGACCTTGACATCAGTTACTAGCCTCCGCAAATGTCCCCAACATAATATACTAGCCTCATAAATGACCTTGACATCCGTTACTACCTTCCATTAATGACCTTGACATCAATTATTACTCTCCACAAATGACCTCGACATCAATTACTACTCTCTACAAATGACCTTGACATCAATTACTAGCCTCCATAAATGACTTTCACAACAATAACTAGCCTTTTCAAAAGACATTGACATTCATAACAAGCCCCTACAAATGGTCTTGACATTTATTACAAGCCACTACAAAAGATGACATTCATTATGAGCCACCACAAATTACCATGATGCCCAATACATTTTTCATAACCAAAACTAAGCACTGCTATAAAAGTTGAACACCATTTTCTGAAACACAACGTAACATACAAATTACAGGGAAACATAAACTCTTCAAACTACAGTATTCTCAAGTACAGTATTTTCAGTGTAGAATCTCCCATTGGTAATGCTAATGCATTATCTCCTAAACAAGTCGTCAGTTACATAAGGTGTCCATCTGCTCATCATGATTCATTAAATGCAAAGTTACCAATATTTACATGGCTCTCAAACGTCCACCTTACCGATGCTAGCCCTTAAGAGACTGGTTACTCGTGACCTTATCCGACACCCATAGCCAGGTTAAGAGTAGTGGTTAACAGAGAGGAGTTATTAAAGCATCTTATTAGTATACCTTATAAGGCTAAACTAGGACACGGAGGTAAGGAGTAGACAATCCTCGATTTCCAGGGGTTACAATCACCTACGCTCTCTACTCTCTGTAGGTGATCGTAACCCCTGGAAATCAAGGAGGATATATTTAGGGGGTCATATATCTACATCGAGGATGTAAATATATCGGTATGGTTGTTTCAGATTGAAATACATATTGTATTGTTACAGTTTGTTATCACACTTTTGTAATTATCATTCTGACTGTTCCTATCATTAAATTACAAAATAATCTTGGACTATAGAGTCTGTTTGATGGGGTTTTTTTCTTGCCAAAAACGATGACGTTGGGTTAACGTTAAGTCTTAATATACACACAGCTACAACCACATTTAATTGAAATACAAAGGAGCCTGGAAAAGTCAATGTCATTAGCACTTGCACCATTGAAAGAAAAGCATTTTTTTCCTGGTGATCTATCCAAACAAACTAATCAATAAATTGATTGATGTTTAGTCAATCAAATTGATAGTTTGATCCAATATATTCAGTTTGTACCATTGCATGAAATGTTTTGTTTTTATAAGGAGCATCTACCAGTTATAACACACTCAGAATGGCCAGTGTGTAGCCTTACTGATAATTACTTTTCTGCTGGGCAAGTTTGCACTGAAGATAACAGTGGCTATATATAAACAGGTAGGGGCATCTGCTAGCTGTCATACAGACAAGACAGCATTGTTACAGCCTGGGCTGGCACTGTGATTAGTCTTTTCCAGATAAAGTTGTTTCAAGCCTTAGGGTTTGCTTGTACACCCTTTCTACATTAAAATATCTCAAGTATGTTTGATAAAACAGAAGGACAAGTAAATTACTAAAGTTTTAGCTAATAAGAAAAGAAATTGCCTTCATTTCAACTGCTTATTTCATGTGCCACTAAACTGTAACTACTTTGAAAAATGGCAATAAATGGCATGTAAATTAGCTAAAACAGCAAGCCACCAAAACCATCGACAATGACTCCCAAACTAGTAAACTTGTTTTTCCATCAAAATTAAGTGGTTGGGATCACAAAAGTGCCTAAACCATGCCGTCCCCCAAATATAATTATTTCTGAAATATAACCTCTCCCTTACATAATTTATTTTCCTTCACCAATGTGACAGATTTTTTAAAGTAGAAGGGAGTGCTTCAAATCATATCTACTCCTTACAAGTCAGAAAAACTAGCTACATTTAATTTAGTGAAACATTCCAGTTGTGCCAAAACTGAGCAGCTGATCTTCTGAATGGAATGCGACATTCCGCAAAAACAATTTTAAAGTACAAAGTTTGATCAAACATCGCAATCGGAATAATTAAAAAAAAAAACATAATATTAAAGATTTGCACATGTGGGAATGTTAATTGGAATGCACAGCTCCTTTTACCAGACCAGTTCAAGCTAGCACAACTGGATTGTTTTACTTAATGGAATTACTGCAAAAGAGAGCAAGCCACACACCAGTTGTTTTCTTTTTTTTAATTTGAGGTTTTCTGATATCATACATGATTGGTAGGGAAGGGACATACAAGAGGTAATATCATCTCTAGGGAAATTAATTGTAAGGTAAAATTAAACAAAATCAGTGTTCATAAATGAAATCTACTTTTGATTCTTTTGTTGCTCTTTCACATTTCTTTCAAACTCAGAAATCAACTTTTCCATTGAAATCTTGTCAACAAGTTTAAATAAATAACAATGTGAAAGAAGGAAAGATGAGAAACGAAAATCATTCTCTTGTTCTTTCATTGTATAAATAAATGTTTTGATCATGAATAAAAATCATTGTTTTTTACCAATTAACTATAAATATAAAAGTATGTGTACATTTGTATAAAAGGGAATTATTTCCAGTTTGATACATGTGATGCCGCATTTACACAAACATTATGGTATGTTGACTACTAAACCTGCCCAGAAAATAAATCGCATCATTTCATCTTTACCTATATAATCACATGTAATAACTTTGCAATATCACTCTGGCGGGAAGCAACCATCTCAGTTGACCACCAACTGCGAATAAACAGTAGGTAAAGGTCACAGGGAAATTGTTGGTACCTAACAGTCAATCTCTTAAGACAATACTCAATGAGAAGAAATACAAGGATGTAAAAAAAAGGGGTATCCCTAATGCTGCAGGTCAGACTAAATATAGCCCTCAGTCAGTCCCTAGTGCTGCAGGTCAGACTAAATATAGCCCTCAGTCAGGCCCTTATCTCCTTAAAAGCACCAACCTTTTTCAAATATCATACCACAAAACCTCACAGGGGATCAAAGCTCTATACTAGGTTATTTCATACAGAGATGTCATATACACAAGGGTTTTGTTTGGTTAAAGATATAGAGGTACATTCCAGCTACATGCTAATTGCACCAAACCACAAAACAAACACACAACATTCAACATATATCACCTGTGACATGGAAAGATGCAAATAGAACTGACAAGAACTTAAGATATGTTACCATTTGACAAAGTAGTCCAATACGTGTGTCAGCATGGCTAGGTACACTTGTAATTAGATACATAGCGCAATATGTTATCTACCTTGTAGGACATTTGACATCATAATAGGTCCAGTGTAATCTGTCTAAAAACACATTATGGACCAAAACTCTTTTTGCAATAAACAGCTTTTTTATTACATTACAGGTAGGTACTAGGCAAAAATGTACCAGGTATACAGTGTGACCTACTTCACGGTCATATAGCTCAGTGAGAACTAGATGAAGGTCTGGTTTTTACAGTTCTTGTCAAGTACATATAACAGAATATAATGTTGTCAAAGAATTGCTATGCCTTCCTCCAATTTTTAACTCGTTGTAGGTACATTCAAAATGGACCATGTGTTTTTCCTACTGAATACAAAATATGTCTCACTCATATGGCACAAAGTACATATAGTTTTTACTGCTACTTTGCACTTGTGAATAAATTGGTATTGTGTCATAGTGAAACACATTTGGTATTCAACGGGAAACCATTAAATATCCTCTGTATATCTGCCATCCTTTCATCAGCATGAAAAATGAAAAGTATGTTCTCCCAACAGAGAACTTAATTTGTTTTCCAAATCATGGTTAACCATTCTAACAAAGGCTACAAAATATTAAAGCCTAATACTAGTCATGATTTTCCATTTTAAATTAAATACAAAAATAAAAAGCTATGATTTCATTTATTTTAGCTTCTAAAGGTTCTACAAGTACCTGTTTCAAAACATCTGTTCCTTGTTAAAATATATAAGTTCACAGTGAAATATTTGTAAGCTCTTTCAGTGACCTAAATGATTATTTCCAGTTTCCCACATGGCTATTATTGAATGTGTGTAATAAAGTGATCCAGAATATTGACAAGGGGAGTACAGAGAATGTGTGGTTGTTTCTGCTACACCTGTCCAACACTACTGTTAATCTGGTCATCTCAGATAGACCAATCTACAATTTTGAGATCCTTGGTCATTGATCGCAGATTTCAAGGGCTGCAACTTTCTCCTCCATTAACTCTGCAGCTGTTTTATCCATCATTGAACGCTGCCAGTTATCGATTTTGAGACCGTCGACAATTTTATAATTGCCCTTTGAGTCAACTTTGACGGGGAAACTATACATGAGCCCCTCTTCAATACCGTAGCTGTTACCATCACTCAAGACGGCCATGGACACCATTTTCTGAAACACAACGTAACATACAAATTACAGGGAAACATAAACAGCTTAAAATCTTTTCAACACTGTAAAGTGGATTATTGCAGGGGTATCACTTTACTAAACAAGAGGCCCAAGGGCACCTGAGTTATATCATAGGTACCGGTAGCTTTATTTTATTGTTTAGATGTGATGTGGAAATCAGCATGTAAACTAAGTGAAATACAATACTTGTCATGTCATCAATGGATAAGAATTTGAAAATATTGGTAAATTTTCCCCTTTGGGGCCCCGCCCTAGCCCCTGGGGAGGGGGCAGGAATCCCAATTTTACAAAGTAATACTCTCATTCACCAAAGATGATTCTGACTAAGTTTGAGTAATTTTCTGCTGAAAATGGATAAAATATACCCAAAAGTGTTATTTGCCTATATAAACTATAGTAAACTT